GGTGACGAAACGTTTGCAAGCCAATTGCCAAGCTCGGCGAACAGATCAACAGCCATCTGATCAACAACCAATAAACTCACCCGAGCTACCAATATTTCACCATATTGGTGGGTGACAATTTTTAACTATTCCTCGTTCCCAACGTTGCACGAATTCACTCCCGTCAAGAAAGCCTGCTTTCATCGCACAATCTTTCTCCATTCATAGCGCTACTCTGTATTTCGATGATGCCTTTCACGTCTTAGATGTAATAGGACTGATTAAAAAATGTTAAACCTACTCAACTGCACCATCTCCTTAGGCAGTCCGCGATGAGGCTGGCAATCTAGTGTTACTGTATTACAACTGTAATTTGTGATTCAATTTGGGGATTTACTGTACGCTAGCACAAACGGGTTCATTTGGTTTTGACAGGAGACTCAAAGGTATCTATTTGACCATCATAAAACGAGACGTTCAGTTAAGTGTCCCTCCAAACTGATGTGTAAATTATAGTGGTTTTCGAAATCTGTTCAGTTTGGTCTCAATTAGAACAAAAGGTTGACAGAAACTCGGGGACTGCACCTACCTGATGATACTCAAGTAGGGCGAAACCGGTCACGGTTGTCGAAGAGTTCTCAGTAACATCATGAGTCTAGGTTGATGTTCAGTTATTGCTTGGGTAACGCAACACTAACTGCGCATTTGTCACGGATATTCATCGGAGAATTGCGATCAATCCAACCTCTCATTATTCAGAAATACAGAAGTGTCACTAAAATGATAACCTGTTCGATAGCAAAAAAAACATTTATACTTGCTTTTCTCTCTGAGGGGATTCGCCGGATCCAGGGATACACGAAGAAGGATCTCTTCTAGTAGGAACATGAACAGAGAGACGACCTGTACAGACAGAGAAAACTGTCATAGACTCACGAAGAAATCAGTCTGAAACTGGAGACTGCACCAGACTTTCTACTAAGGCAAAACGTCGTATTGTCCTCAGAGTGATAACATGTTTTAAATTCTTTAAACGGAATGCAGAAATGGTGATGTAAATTCCACCCTTCCCGCGTCTCTTCAGATATGGTCACCCATTGCTACACAGACATGTGAGACCCGGCCTGAAGTCTATAACGTCACAAAACTCAGGTTGAGCGAGACCGTAAAGCACACAACCTCATCATGGTAGTTATTACTAAGAGAGCTATTTTCATCTTGGCGTTGTCAGGCCAAATCGTGAGGATCTCATTTTGAACACCGATACAGTTGGGTGTAGCGATCATTTCGTTATGTTTAGTAGAAAAGCCGCTTCCCCGCTATGTTGAGGGTGTGAATGCTGTTTCAGAATAACGTTCTTCATGTTAAAATGTCAATTTTGCGGCGATTATACCTACCTCCCAGAGGTAGTTTTTGAAAACTAATGAACTTTAAAGTGATGTTTTATGGATTTATATTAGACATTTATGTGGAAACAAGACCACATCTTCAAATGGGACTGTGAATCTGTCCTCGTCCAAAATTATTATTGATGAACGAGAAACCTAATTCCCATAAAAATTTTGAAGTATCATGTGGAAACGAACGAAGACTCTTGGAGTCTATAAAGTAGGTATACATGGGGATATTGAGAGAGAAGAAAATAGGAATGAACCGGATCAAATTGAACTGAATGGGAAGCACGGGTGAAGGGAGATTGCAAAAAAGGAAACAAGCAACGGTTCGAATATGCCCATAGTCATCAAGACGCTGTGACAAAATTACACCCAGGAAGCGGCAAGGCCAGCCACACAATGGAAATATACTGTGAGGAAGAAGTAGAAGGATGAAGTGATGACGGTAAAACGACTAGAGATGTAGATTATCCTAACTTACCCTGAAATCGATATAATTGTTCTTTCGGAGCGTTTAGGGTTAGGTAGTTAATCTATGACAAACAATCATGAAATTCTGTCGTCATATCCAGTGAGATAACATTGACGTGACTCTCGTTACCAAAATTCTATGCAATGCACCACTTGTAGTTAAATTCCGCCTCTTCAGAAGGCACGTTTTATCTACGATCATTGCACAGTAGCTCAACAAGTGATGAATGCTATTTCTATTGCTAAAGTTGGCATATTGTGAATTTTTTTCCAGGCTTACGAAACTACGGTTGGTGAACGCGGCTCACAACTTTCCGGCGGACAAAAGCAGCGTGTGGCGATCGCTAGGGCGCTATTACGTCGGCCAAGACTTCTGCTCTTGGACGAAGCAACTTCGGCACTGGACAATGAAAACGAGCGCATTGTACAGGCTGCCTTAGACAAAGCGATGAGTTCTAGAACATGTTTGGTAGTCGCGCATCGGTTGACAACGGTGGAAAATGCAGATCAGATTGTGGTGTTGGAGCACGGTCGGGTAATGGAATCAGGGACAGCAAAACAACTTATTCAAGCGAAGGGTGCCTATTACGCTTTGCATTGTCTTGGAGAGCAACAGTAAGAGCAAGTCTTTCGGTGTTGAGTGAATGGAAAACTATCCTATCTTCATTGAAAAACAACTATCATGGTAGCCCACAGACCAGGTTTCTAAAGGCAGTATTATCATCAGATTTTACGAAAAAAAACACAATAAAATCCGTTTTTCTGTTGAAAGTGGAATGTTAGACTGTTTCGGTAGGATGGCGCAACAGACTGTGGGTAAAGCGATAATGACAGTGCTTACAACATGGTCCACCGAAGACTATGAAGTTGCATACTTTTCGCAGCATCCCAGGCAGCATGAGCATATGAACAGAACACTCACGAAAAAAGGTTGAATTGGCAACAGCCACTACAATCGACTTTGTCCCCATGTCTTTTCGTCACCTCGCTGTTGCAACTCGTTTGAATCAGGATATCAGGAAAACCGCAAAACCAACGATTGTTAGGACGTATAAGGGGATCGGCTGAATTCTAAGATAGGAAGTCCTATTGCGCACAGTATATGTTTGTTTTAACTTCCCATTTCAAGGTCTACCAAATCCTTTCTAACAATTTATTCCAGTCCTTTGGGTATATGGACGATATCAACGCCTGATTGCTTGTAGTGATCATGCAAGAGACCCACTAGTAGCACCGATAGATGCCAACGAAGTGTGCGGCCACGTTTGTGCTTGATATTTCAGGCGACTGAAATATGTACATCTGGGTTAGGCTAATACTTTCGGGATACATGTTATACGGGTGAGATTGTCACGAAAATAGATAGATCCCACTGATACGAGAGCCTAGTGGTCCTTAGTCTGTTTCAGTGTATACCCAGTCGGTGCATATTTTCTCATTCCCAATATCTTAGCTAGTTCTCTTGCCTCTACAAAACGTCAAACGACACAATTCAACTCATCTTATTCAGGGTTTCAGTTGGCTCACAAATCGTGTAGGCTGATCAGGATTGAGATTATTCCGGACGACCGGTGAATTGAAGGACAAAACAACTAGAAATAACATGGACCGAGGGATCACAACTGCCAGCACGTGAAAGTGCGTGAAATTGCAAATAGGTCACATGGTGTCAAGCTCGCCTACTGGCAGTTCGTTTCGGTTAGAATAGGGTGGCATGTTGACCAATACCTTATCAAGTTGATTGTCGGAGGCAGTAACGCAGCACCATCGTTGTTGATAAGTTTAGCGTTCTACATGGCATGTACTTGTCCACAGACAAGTCACAAAGTGGGTTGAAGTGACTTTTACACCATCTCCAGAGAGGGTTAGATGGATGGGACAATCAGCTTTCCATTTTCCTCTGTTTTCGCCGGATCACAGAACCAGTGTAGTCTTCTTTGTCCCCGACTGGAAGGACAAGCGGTAAAAATTAACCGGATGGTTGTTCGGTGATGACTTAGTAGCTTGCATGGGATGTCCTGGGAAAATGCGGCGTTAACAACTGCAAATAAATTGGATGAGTTGAATAATCTTACATCGACAGTCTGGTTGTTCCAATATAGTTTTCTTTTAGCACAACAAGAGACCTTCCACAATGACCTCCGATGACTCAGCAAGAACGGTTGTTACAGTGGCTAATGTTGTATCTGTAACCAGGTTATTGTCAGTAAACTAAAAGACTTCTTATGTTCATGAGTCAACTCTAAAGATAGGTAAATGATCAGGTGGCGCAAATTTACCCGTGCTGCTGCTACCAGAAATTTTGTAGCAATTTATTTATCAGTCACGACGGGACCAGGTGCAAACCGTGACCAACGTCTTATGATAGAAACGGACTAGACAATATTTAGCTCCCTTATCCGGGTTTACCGGTAAATCAACGGGAAGGTATGGAGCACATAGATTTCTGTGCGAAAGAAGTGATCAAACGGAATTCTGGCGGTGCGGTTGCACTCCTGGGAACTGACGCGTCGGCTTCTCACAGAATGAGCGCCTACTTAGGTATACACGACCTTCAGGCCAGACGCGCTGACCATACATTCTCCGGTAACAACGAGCTATATCAATCATACTGAAACAGTCGTGCTGAACAAAGATATTTTGAGTCACCAACCAAGAAACCTTATTCCATTGGGTAATAGAGCTCTTCTTATAAGTAAACTTGAACACTCCTATCATAATTCAGAGGATGTTCAGCACAACTGGAGCAGTTCCAATGGAGCGCATCGATAAATTAATGGGCCCAAGAACAGGACCGAGATATTTGAGTACGAAGGAGTAAAACGCAGGCAATAATCGAAATGTGGGAGGTTTTTTGGACGTCATTATGAACCGTTAAGTGGTGATCAAGTATAGGATCCCAAAATTGGCAATGCGGGAGGTGGCGATCTACATCAAGTAGTGGCCTTATGCGATTTCTAAACCTTAATCGCGTAGGAAAAGCTTATTCCAAATCTCACCCAGTTGTTTCAAGGGGTGAATTGTAAACAAACGTTGCGATACATTGACGGTGAAGTGGTTCGGAGAGAACTCTGGCTAGAAGAATAAACAAAATGTATTTACTTACACGCAATAATACACATGATATGTACACTAATGGGGATTAGCTAATCACTGTTAGCTGATACGGACATTAGGATGCAAAGAACGGAGTCTCTGATTCCGAGAAAGACCGAGTCGTAGACCACTGGTCGGTGTCACAGCTATTCTTGGTCTTTCGGATACACTGGACGTAGAAAAACAAGGAGTACTTGGTTCAGAGGCAACAGACAACACTCTGGTTCGGCAAGGTAAGTTTGAAATAGGCGAGTTTAAAACATTTTCCATCAGTTTCGGTCGCGGCTCTGATGATGCTGGGGAATGGGTCATAGGCTGAACGAGCGCTTCCGTTTTCTTCGTCACGGATACAACAACGCTTTTCGTCGTTTTAGATACCTTCCGTTCACGTTCTTTCGGTTTTTCGCCTCTCTTCGTTTTATTGATAGGCGCATTATCATCTTTAGGGATTTCCCAATCGTCGTCATCCTTAGTTGGTTTACTCTTCTTCACATTTTTTGGTTCATCATCGAAAAACTCTTCATCACTATCACCAGCCAAATGAGCATAATCTAACTGCTTCTTCACTCGCCCGGATCTTCTTTCCGTCATTGACCGAGCTGAAACAAGTATAAATGGGTTTAAAGTGAACGCATTGGAGCGGATTGTAAGACAGATGCGGTGTCTGAAGAAAAAACTTCTAAAAATCAATTTCCCTAGGATATATGAACATACGAGCTGAAAAACGCCGGATCAATTTGTTAGCTCACTTGTGGTGTCGCTGCAATGCCGTAGGGTCGTGTTTGTGTGGGTTCCGTACACCTTTTTCAAAGGGATCCAGAGTCATCTTTTGTGGATCAGTGAACTGCTCCAGGACAGTCGAATATATCTAACCAGTAGATGACACTCAAACAAGGTATAAGCAGTTCGCCGCGTCAATACCACCCTCAGTTCACGATGAGACCTCATATTACTCGTAAGATATAACTGCGAGGCCGAGACGGATCTAACCGAGAGTGAAAGCGAATTCATTCCTGGTCGTTGCGTACTCCCATGCAGATAACTAGCTGGCGGCCAAAGATTTCAAGCTTTGGAAGGTCTCCAATTTGTATCAAACTTTTCACGCATAAGGAATGAATGGGCGGCAATCATGAATATCTCAAACTCTGAGAAATAATCTTAATTCCTCTCCAAAACTTGTTCAACCGCAAGAGATGAGTTCTGGCACTATCGACACTACCTCGGATATCTTTGTTTTTTTCTCGTTCGATTAGATGTCGAAACCTAACCATCTGAAAACGAATTGTTCGGTCTTTTTGCTTCCAATGCTGAAGCATTGTGTGGGTATGTCCATGCAGGTTCAGAAAACTTGATCGTCGCACGAGTCCGTAAATTGATAAGTACCGTATGGTGAGTTAGGTAGTCCAGTGCTTGTCAAAGTCCATACAAGCTGCTACCCAACAGAAAAACGCAACCATCTTAATCCAAGTCAGCTACCTTGATTTCAAGATGCCATAGCATTTCTCCAATGATAGCACAAATGACTATCAGAATTTGTCACCAAACGAGAGCCTTACTCTCTTGCAACGGAGTCGGCATAAATGACTTCACTAAATTGTCAAACAAAGTGATTTAACAACCTTAATGGCATCTCTCAAGAGATTTAACAGTAAAAGTGAGGTGTCCCTATCTTCAGGAATAAACCAGGCTCTGCATATTGAAGATGGTCACTCAAGGAAAACCCTGTAGGCGGTGCACCTCCATTTCCTCTCGTTATTTTTTTCTTCGATGGTTTGATGATCACGGCTATTCTCAGCCCACTTGGCCCTTCACAACTTAGGTGTCCCACCTCAGTTAATGGATGGTTAAGCAGCTGATTTATGCATTCCATTTAATGTTGTGCTTTCTCGCCTTGGCTAACGATACATTCTATAAGCAGCATATAGTAAATGTTAGAAATCCATCCATATAAGGTAAGAAAATTATGAAAATTTCAACGTGATACCATGTGATACCATGACCAACTGTCAAATGCGCTCTTTGTTGTGCGGTCCTTTTCCAGTGCGCAAAATTTATTTGTTTTAGTAGATTTTGAATAAGAAAACGGCGTCCTCCGATATCCATTCGGTGACGTATCACTAATTACGTTCGGTGATCCAGAGACGTGATGAGGTTCAAAACACTGCCTATCGGTCATTTACCAAAGCCAATTGGACGTCTGCACAGCTATAGCTGTTGGAGCTTGGTTCATTCGTCCCTGCTACGTTTTGGTGGGTTCCTACCAATGAGCAGGTGCAAACACAATGGTCCCCCGCCGAAGAGTTGTCACGCGAGTTGTCTCGAAAGAGGTTCCGCTTGTTCAGCTTCGTTATTGATGTACTACTGAGGCGAACTCTGAAAGGGCTTCAAATCCCTGGAGTTGAAATCGTCGATCGCGAGAACTTTGTAGATCTGGAGTACGCAGACGACGTCGTCTTCATCCGTGAAGACAAATGCGGAGCAAAAGCCCTATTGAATAGACTAAACATCGTCATACCACTTTCGAAAAAGTTTGGTGACAATCGGTAGATTTCGAAAACGATGACTACCCAATCGGTTTCAAGTATTTTCCATCGTCATACCATCTTTCGACAAGCAACTCGCACCTTCAAAATACAAAGTCTTGCCTTAGGACATGCAGTCTCTGAACGTACCCATTACGATCCAAGGAGAACAACTGGAGCTTGTGGGAAATTTAATAATCGTTCAGCTGTCGCACCCTTTCGGTGCCTAGCTGCCATGCCACCAGAAGGAAGCATGAGGGCTAGGATACTGCCAGGTTGCCCAAGCCTAGACAGAAGTCGAGAGGCAGAGGTCGGGTTCGAACCACGGACCTTCCGGTCGGTAAATTCGCGCTCTAACCAGTTGGTCCATTTACAAACCAGGGTAGTTTTATCAACTCTGACGGAAATCTCTCAGATGCTGTCAGTGCAAGAATCTCAAAAGCCCGAAAGACGTTTGCTAGTCTGCGGCACTTGTGGCGCCAAAAGGACATATCACTGGGTATTAAGGGTCGCCTGTAGCAGGCTACAATTAGAGCCACGTTGTTGTATGGCTGTGAAACATGGCGTCTGCAGACAGGTGATGTCACCGAATCTTGCTTGATTTGGATAGTGTCAACGGATTAGTAACGAGGTGATTAGAAAACGGGTATGTGGTTGTGCAGCAGGTACTTCAATGGCGGAAAACATCCAGCACTGTTGACTATGACGGCTCGGCCGTGTATCATCATCATCATTGTCAGCTGTAATAACCGCGTACTCGTCGTACAGTGGTTGTAGCTGCCACTGTTTCGTTCACCGATGATTTGGGGGGATAGGTGGCTGCGCATTGCACGCGCAAGCTGGTAAATTGATGCATAAATTAAAGCACTGTCAGCNGGGTTGGAAAAAAGCTATGCATTGAAGGCAATAGCTTGGATGCACGAGCGCCATTGAGGGCGCGACTGGGTCATGTCTGACCATGTTCCTAGCCATTGATGTGGCCCGTCTCGGGGTTCCCATCCAGGAAGACCGCAGTGACCGACACAGCTGAGTTTGTTGGTAATGGCTTTCATACTTCGCTGCCAAGTCATTGTTTGACCACCTCTGACTCTCTTCCACCCTTCACGTGGTTGTGCGAAAAGAGCCCTTCGGGGAATTCGGTCGACTGGTATACGTATCACGTGGCCAAGCCAGGGCAACCTATAAGGTGTGATCAGTTCACCTATCGAGGATGGGTTATTTCTCCCGAATAACATTCGACGTACTTCAGCATTGCTGACCCGGTGCTCTCACCAGATTCGGGCATCATCATCATCAAGCACACCAAAATCAGTGTTGCCACTGATGCTTCACTGCCGTACAACCATAAGGCTTGTCTAGTTATATATATATATATATATATATATATATATTAAAAGCCCTAGGGCGAAAAGAAGAAGAGTGGGTGAGGGAGGGGACCTAGTGTTTGCTTATGTCAACCATTCTGAGGTGCCTACACCTCCAACCGCTCAATCAGACAACCTTGA